TCAAAGAAAAGATGGGTAGAATGACAACAAATTGACATAAACCGGCCAACACATTTTATTTGTCGGTATGATCAAACTTTGGAAATTGGAATGATGTTACACGAATTTGAATAATCATAGAAATTGAATACAATGATTTGAAGCTTTTCTTGTCCAATTTCCAGACAACCTCTTGTAAAATCAACAACAATATATATAATCGAGGTGAGGCTCTGAGCTTCCTGGCACCGAACTTTCTTCACTGTCTTCAACCCCTTCATAGTTTGCAACTCCAGTACTCTCGGTTTTCTCTGCCTTAGATCCCTGAAACATCATTTTATTTTATTTTTATTAGAAAAAAAAAAGAAGAAAAAGACAGTAAATTTGATCGAAAATTCGAAAAGAAAAGTGAAATTTGAGGATATAATTACCTTAATTGTGGCTTTTAGTAAAGGATCCTGGCGAGCAGCAGATGCTATAGTGGTGAATAACAGGACAATGGCTAACAAGGCGAGTGAATTTTGCTTCGACATTTTCAAAAAATGAAAACTTTAAGGAAATCAGAAATGATTCTTTCTTGTTTCCACAAATATTCTTCAGGATGGAAGTGATACGTTTTTATAGGAAAAATTGAGAGAAGGAGCATTATTAAGTTTTAAAGATTTACATCTGTGGAATTAAATTTCTAAGCAAAGAATTCACTGAATTAAATGATAAGAATGAAATAATTCGATGCAAAATTAAATCTCATTAAATAATTCATTGACTTCAAAGAGTTGAGATTACAATTAATTGAGTGACAAAATAACCAATTATTCAGTAAATCTGAGTGTTTTTTTTTTTTTTTTCTCCTTTTCTGGGGTTCTTTTTTGTGGTTTGGTTTGGTCAATCTAGTGTACCTTTGTTCTTTAGGTAGGACGAAAAATTGAAATTGTTAGCCTTCTTACTTAGGGTGGACGGAGCATTCTGTATAGATCTGAATTTTAGTGCTGCTGCTTGGGAAATTCTAGATGAAACTGGAAGATTGTTAAAATATGGCTCATTTTGTTTTTATTCTTCTTCACTAGAATATTCAGAAGCATTGGCATGTATTACAATTTTGAAGGAAGCACATCAGATGGGTCTGTCCAATTGTTAGTTTCAATTAGACAGCAAAATATTGGTAGAATCTGTTTCAAAGGGATCAAAGTTCCCTCATCATCTCTAAAGTATCGGTCAGGACATTATGCACTTAATAGATTGTATTCCTAATACTAATTGTGTTAAAGTCAGTAGGTCTATTGTAGAAAATACTGATAGATTTGTTAAGGCGATGTTAATGTCGGCCCGCTCTGTGTAATCTACTGTCAAATTTTGATTATAAAGACATGTTTTTCAAAAAAAGAAATTGTTAGACATTAAATCTCATTGATTTTGTGGTAATAAAACTCATTGTTCTCACTTGGGCCAACCGGCTAACTATTGGGCCTTAATTTGCTCATGCAATTTGATGTGCAATAATTTACTTCTGTGTTTATCAAGAATTTAACTATTTTGAAATGATAACAAGGGATTGTGATAGAGTAGTGAGAACTCCTCCACTCTTAAACATAGGTCAAAGATTAGTAAATGTTGCCGACGATGAATACCCTGCAATATGGAAAAAAAAAACTATTTTGAAATGATTGAATAAATATGACAATTATTTTGAGTAAAAAAAATATTTGAGACAGTTATTTTCTCATTACACCGAGTTCTTTGCTCTCGCCACTGCAGTTTCATTGTCCAAATAAAGATTGTAATTCATCGAAATAAATAATATACAGAGATAGTTTGACATTCCTTATGTTAATGTAATTTATGTTCTGTGTATTTTGTTTGTTTCAAAAAATTTATTTAATAATTACTCCATGTTTGAGGTTTGTAAGCCCTTGACTTCGGGAGGTTTGAGCATAAAGGATTCAAAGGTGATGAATATGGTCTTGGTTCTAAGACTCATATTGGGCATACATCTCAATAAAGAGAGTTCATGGGTGAAATGGTTGTACGAATGTTATATTAAAGATGGCTTATTTTGGAATCTGGAAAAAGAGCAATCTACATCCTGGCCAGTGAAGAAGTTGTTGAAATTAAAACAATCCGCTAGGCAATGTGTAAATGTTACTTCAGATCGAGAGAATTGAATGGATTGGTTCTGGGAACCTTTTTCGGTGAGCGTGCCTACTTGACTCTCAGCCAACAACACAAACGTAGTCCAGAGTACATCATGTTTTAGGGTGAGTTTATCGTCCCAAAACATGCCTTTATTACTTGGTTAGCTTGTTTGGACAAGTTGAAGACTAGAGTTAAAATTGCTAAATATGATCCAATGATTGATAGTAGATGTCCCATGTGTATGACGGAGGAGTAAAATGTAAAACATATTTTCTTTGAATGTCTATTCTCCATTCAGATTATCACCAAAGCCATGGCTTTGGTTGGTGCAAAGATCTTGTCATTTCAATGGTTGTTTTTTAAGAGAGAGCTGTTGGAAAAATATGGCTCAAACTCGGTACGTGATGGTATTACTAGAGGAGTGGTAGCAGCTGCGTTCTATCATATTTGAGAGGTGAGAAATCAGGTTATTTTTCGCTAAAAAAGAGTTTCTGAAACAGAGGTGAATCAGAATATCTTCTTCTCACTGAAAATGAATCTGTCCAAGATAACTAAAATGAAGAATACTTCCAAGAACAAACGTTGGTGTAATCTGATAAAAATCTGCCCGAGGTTCTAGATTTTGCTATTATATGTGGTGATCTTTTGCTTATATTAATGTATAATGATAATAAGTATATACCCTTTGTGTAGAGTTCTTTTGAGAAAATTAGTGATTGTACCTACACATATTCTGGAATGAAACTCAACTCTTCGTCCAAAAAAAAATTAATGTTGAATAATAAATATCTGAAAACGCTCCATAACACGAGTATTGTTTTGAAAATTTGTACACTGCACACACTATAGGAACTAATGGTTTATTTTAAGGACATTTAACGAAAAATATGAAAATATTACTTTGCGTAATGATTTGGAGCAATTAGTTTTGGGTTGGCAAAATGAATTAAAAGCCAAGATGTGTTTGAGTGACATCATTTCTCCTTAATTTGGACATTCCCACCAAGAACTTCATTCATGCATAAAATAGCCGAATACTTGCTGTTAATTTCCACTTTGAACTATATAATATTGTAATCTCAGTTTCATAGTCCCATATTCACGTATCTAGTGTTGTAATCTCAGTGCACTTTCTCTGCCGGCATAACCATTTTTTTTTTTTTCCTGCATGGGTTGACGTTTGAGCGGAAGGCTAATGTAGATTTATACTCAATCTATCTCCAAAATGATCATTCTGATTATATTTTCAGATTATAACATCTGTATAGAAAAATAAAATTCTAAACTGAACAACAAAATAGAGAAAATAATTAATTAATTACAATAACATGTTACTAATCTCCAAATTGTAAGCATAAAGCTGAACAACAATAATATAGAAAGTCATACTCTCTCTTTTCTGGTTACCAAAAGAGTATACTGTATGTATATAAAATAAAATGTTTTATCTGGACATAATCTTAAAACTATGCGATCGTTAATGATTTTTTTCCTTTCACGAAAACTTGTTTCTTCTTTTTTTTTTTTTTTTTTTTTCGTTCAAAAACTAGTCAAACCATATGGTTCGAACATCACGTCCACAAAAAATGTGTAGCTTTAATGTTTTAGATGTTTGTCTTTTGGCTCCCACAACAGATAATTAATTAATTAAACTCATTTACGAGGATTAAAAAAAGAAAAAGTTAAAAGGACCATCTTTTTCAAGAGCCTTTTTTTTTTCTTTTGATAACTAAAAGAAACAATTGAAAGGACCGGCCTAGTGCGTGGCTACAGCCTATGAGAAATGATTAGATATCAAAAATTAGGATTCTCTTTTGAGAGACTTAAACAGAACATTAGAGGATTAATGCATATCGCAAATGAATCATTAAGTCGGACATGCCTGCTCCTTTCTATAATTATGCCACTCGGCGCCCACTTGCTACCAATTATATCTCCCGTCAATAATAATTAACTTAATTTTATTCATCTTGATGAGACTAAAAAAATTAGAAAAACAAAAACAAAAACGTATTTCTTTGGTTATGAAATAATTAATGGTCACATTATGGTGAACTCCATAATCGTACAAACAACATGACTCTGTATCGAATTTTCTTAAACTACCGCTTCCTTTTAATTTCTGTAACATGAATGTATAGTGAAAAGCACATGTATGATGATTTTCTTTCAAAATTCAACTCACTTCCAATATATAATGCATAGTAATTAGTTTATTTTATTTTTCATTCACTTCATCGAAAATTCTCTATTACATCGATCTCTTCCTTTATTTCATTTTGGATGTAGACTTTAAGAAATGATACTGGAATAGTCGAAAAGAAGCAGCTATCGCCTTTTTTACACTAAAAATAAGGATCTCATATCTTGTTGTAGCATACAATATTTTACGAAATTAAAAGAAAGAGAGAAATGTGATTAGGGTCGTCGCTGGTTTTCATTAAATTATTATTGCAATAAGAGTACACCAATAAAAAGTTAAATGTTACTTGAATAGTAGAGGTTTAGAAGCCAGCAAAATCCGACTGAAAATAGAATTAGATGAATTTCGTTTTCTATGCAAATAAAACAAATATAGCATCATACCACGTATTAAGAATTATTATTGAGTCAAGTGATAAAAAAAAGAAAGAAAAAAATTTCTCATGGAATACAATGTGATTAAAATTTTCTATTCGCGAAATGTCTTAATTTAATTTTTGTAAAGTTTTATCCTTCTTTTTGTACCCAAAAAAAAAAAAAAAAAACTAATTACCTCTCGAGCTTGAACTTGTCCCAAAAGAAATACCTGCTAAAATTTTTTTGCCATAGCCTAGTATTAGGTGAAAATAGTTTGAGAGTGATATAGTATATTGGAAAACAATTACATTAAACTATGGGTACTCATTAAAAAAAAATGTTTAAAAAGTTAGATCGTGGGATGAGATCTCACATTCCGAAACTAATTCATCATCAAACCTACCAAAAACCGATACACAATGATTACACATGCCACATAGTATAGTATATATTTAAGGCCTTAACTGTAATTACACCCATGCACAGTTGTTCATCTTTGTTATATCATCATCAACAATATAATAATACAAGTACTAAATTCTTAAAATCAGCATCAGCATTTCGAAAGGGCTAAAGAAGAAAGTTGTGAACTCAAAGAAAGAAGAAGTTATCTCGCTTTCTTGTATTCTTTCATCTCTTTATTTATACCTTAAAAATCCCTCGAGAGAGAGATTCATTCTCTATGTTCATGGCGGCAGCCACTTCTTCTTCTTCTTCTTCAAGCTTCTTCAACCTAAGACCCAACGAGGCGGCGGCCGTGAAGGTCCGATCTCCGCCTTCTTGCGGCGGAGGAGGAGGAGGAGCCGGAGGAAGGATTGACGGTATGGCGATGTGGATAATCAATGGTGTTGCCACCGCTTTCTTTGCGTCCCTTGAAAGGTGTTCTTGCATCCGTATCGCCACCGTTGACGACGGTGACGGTGACGATTCCAACGACTTGCCGTTGATCTTTAACGACGGCAATAGTTCTCTGGCGGCTGCTCGTGATATCAGTAGTTTTGGCCGGAAGAGATCGTCGACGACGGGCAAAGGAAAGAAGAACGGAGTCTTGATTTATTGAAGACGTACGTACGTACCAAAAATCAAACCAAAAAAAAAAGGGTGATCTTTAGGGGTAAGTATTTTAATGATATTTTTATTTTCTGGGATCTGGGCAACTTAAATTATGATGAACTTCATGTACTATAATTTATGTAATGTTGTAATGAATTTTGGTGCCATGATGAACAAGAAAAGTATATATATATATATACTATGCGTTTTTTTTCCCCTTTAATTAAGCTTGAAAATTTTAGCTTCCAAGTTAATTTATTCTGTTTCATGGGATCATTATTCTTTTGTTGGTCGTAGCTAGAATTATTATGACAAAGATGAGCTATTTCAATCAGAGAAATGTATATTAATTTCAGAGCTATGAATCAAGGTGTTAAATGTTGATGATAACTTGCTAGCCGTTGAGCACACTTTTGGAAAATTTTGGATTGTCAGACAGTAGAGAATTTGTTTTGGAATTGGGTCATGATCATTGAGTAAAGTTTTGATGATTATCTAATTCAGTAACTATGTTTGAAACAAAATCCAATCAATTTCGTAAGGCCGGCCTACATCATACTCCCTCCGTCCCAAAATTATTATCCAATTTGAAATTTCTCTTTTAATACAATTTGAACTAAAAATAAAAATTCAAACTGGATAATAATTTTAGGACGGAGGGAGTATAACAACTCATGGACTTATAAACCCACCCCCGCATGTGCTATAATTCTTGGCATCCTTTTTGAGCTCAATCATTTTGCATTTTAATCCCAATATTTTTGTCCGTTTGCCTGACAAATTCGTTGTCATCTGTAATGGCAATCAACAAAAAGAGAAGGAAGAAGCAGAGGAAGTAGTGTTTCTTTGTGTTTCCCCAACATACACATCTGTTCTTGAAGTGTCATTAGAAAACCGTTTTTTTCTTCTTCTTTTTTGTGTGTTTTTTTTTTAAAAAAAACTTTTTGAATTGCTCAAATAAAAATTGGTCATGACTAAAGCACTAGGCGTGCGCTCCAGCCTGATCCGATCCCTACTTTTACTACAACTGTGACCAACAACAAAAAAAAAAAAAAAGAAGGAAAAAGATGGGGGATTAAAGTAGCTTTTATTAATTCTTTATTGGTACTCCTTCCTATCCTTATTATAAGGCATTTTGACTTTTTATATATTTTACCTAGTACATATTTTTTCATCGATGAAAAAACCTTAAAAATATATTTTTACATTCGTTGTGTTCTCTTGATTGTTGTGATATATATTTAAGGTTTTTTCGTCAATTAAAAATGTGTATTAGGTTAAACCTATGACAAATCAAAATACTTTATATTAAGGACCGGAGAAAGAAGTATAATATATAAAAAAAATGCAACCTTTTTTTCCCATGATTATGCATGATATTGTCGTTCAGGTTAATCATTTTGCTGAATCAAATTTCTACTGTGTTTTGTTTGCTTTTTTATTCCGTTAGTTTTGAAGTCAAATTTGATACTATTACGGAGGTGGAGAACGCACGGCACGAAGAAGACATTCGTATCTAGTGATGGCCCATTGATGTGAATGTGATTGAAACCAATATAAAAAAAAAATGGAAGACAATAAATTAATAACGACAATAGGCCCGTGAATCAATCTGTAAGTGAGCAATTACAAAAAGAAGAATGTCCCTATTTCAAAACGAAAACAAATATGAACACTAGACCAATCTGGCTTTGTCATGGATCGATATGGGAACATTAATTAATATACTATAATTATATGTCATGATTGTAAAGGTATTTTGGATACCTATGTCTTCTTGATCTTTTGATCAATTATCTCCTCTCTTTTGATTAACTGTCTTATCTATTGAAATACTCATAAATTTAAGTAAGAAAATTGATTATTATTATCGGCGGTAAACAGTACTATACGAATATATAGAAAAAGATAGGCACTTTGATGAGAAAGATAATCAAAATATATTAGAAACGGTGTAGGATGAGTTCCACAAAGAACACATTATGAACAAAACATTTTGCCTCTTCACCCGTATGTGTTTACTAGTGCTTTTATATACTCTCTGCATCATGAAAATAATTCACAATATAAATTATTTTTGTGAATCAGAAAGACACATGGTAAATAAAATGTGAAATAAATATAAATAAAATAAACTTCATTCGGACGTAACAAAGAGACAAAATAGCATTCGTATTTTTTCTCGATGAAAAAAATCAGTGGTAAAGTAAAGGCATCCAGCAGAACGAAACCTCTTAATCTTTGTATATCTTAGCTTCCAACAGCTCCTAAAATTAAAAAATCTCTAATTTTTAACCTTTGTAAGAAGAATAGGATTTGGTGGAATTCTTTGGAAGCATGAAAATTGGATTTGGAGACAGGCGTTATTGCGCTGTTGATACTGCCGAAATGATGGGTTTTAATAGGATAACAGCGGATGGAAAGCCTCTAACTAAAATATGCAAGAAACGTTAAGTTCTGTCTGAAACAGATCTTGTATCTAACTATCCACATTATATAGAATTTTGGGGGCTTTAATTTACTGTATTGGGTACTCATTAGTTTCGGCCCATAGAATCAATACGAAACGAAAGCAAGTTTGCACTTTGAACTTGATTCCCTCACTATTTTTCATAAACTAATAGAGTACAATGTATGTTAAACTGGGAAAAATTGATGAAATATATACTGGTGCTAAATCCAGATAGCATCTTCTGCCAACATGTTTTATGCTTGCATTATGTATTAAATATTAATTCATTTTATTATCCATCTCAAAAGCATGATCTTGGGAGTCACGACAATAATTTTGAGATGAAACTAGAAAGGAAATGTTAATACTTCTACTTTAATAAAATGATAAATATAGTTAATTGAATACATAAATCAACTTAAGTGTTGAGCAGCGTCATTAGAATATGTAATAACGATAGGGTCTCTACTCTCGAACTAAGTTCTAACTAACACAAGTTAGCTATACGACGCGTTTTTTTTTTTTTTCTTTTGAGTCGAATATGATGAGTTCAAAATGTCAGATGAAAATTTTTTCCAGTTGCAATTTAGATTGAAAAAAAAAACCCGATTATGTAAAACCCTAGTAACTAAATAATCTGAAAAGACTCAAAAGAGATAGTGAGATACATGATAGAAGTGTAATTTTCTTTTTCAACACTTGTAAATTTGGGGAAGTTATAAAATGGAAATAAAAATAGAAAGATTAACTGGCAGTCCACGTCATCCCGCGAAGACCCACACGGCAATTACCATTCCCAAGGGAGGAGGAGAGAGAGAGAGAGAACACCGCCACCTGATGCTATTAACGTGGCATCTAAATCAACGGTGTCTCAATTCTCTCCGGCATCACTCGCCACCCTCCTTTACACCATTCTTATCGCCGGCGTTCTGCCGTTCACTCTTCTGAACTTAAAAATTTCTTCAAATTCAAGAGCTTGGGAGACGCCGCTTGAAGTTCTTTAGCCCGATAGGAAGAAAGAAAAACTATTGGATCACTGGACCACCAAAAAAATGCTCAATTATGGTGACCAAACCCCCAGTCGGTAGGCTTTTTTTTTTTTTTGCTGATTTACTACTTACTATCTGATTGGGGAGTTTTGTTTTCCGAAGAGTTGCTTCTATGATGTCTTCAATTATAAAACTTGCTTAAGTTTTTTTTTTTTTTTTTTAACAGTTAATCATGCCTTGCTATTTAAGCTATTGAATTGCTTTATTTATTCGAAGCCAAAGAGTAATTAAACTGGCGACTTGTGAGGTTTTGATGAAGGCGTAATTGTTGGCTTTATTTGAATTTTGGATGTGGAGAGTAGAAGAAGGTTTCTCCCCTTCTTAGAACCTGTTCTACTGGACTACTTAAAGGTATTTTAACATTGGAAAAAGGGATTCCGGCTGCTTCGCTGTAGTTAAGGAGCATTTTGGAACTTGGCAAAGAAACTCTGAAATGAAATCTTTTCGTTAATTGGGAACTTTTAATTCTTGATATGTTAGGAGACCATGAAGATAAATGATAAGATGCAGAGGCAATCTTTCGTATCAGATAAAGTTGGTAGTTTATCGATTTCGATACCAGGAAATCTTTGGATCAGAATGTACTACAAGAGCATGTTTCTCGAGTCTTAGTATGGTGGGAATGAACATGATAGCTGATAATTGAGAATAATTGATTTTCTCCCTCTAATGTGATTTCTTTTCTGTCATTCTACCCGGAACAGATTTGAGCTGTTGAGTATGGTAAAGAAGCACTCGAAGCTGTTGGAAAAAAACTCAGTTGATCAGGATGATGCCTCTGATTTGGAAATGGACTCCCGTTTCTGGCATGATATCATGGATTTATATTTTGTTCGGGGTAGGGAATCGAGGGGTCGACAGGAGGACGATATGATGTTCTTTGTCCGAAAGATGGTAAGTTCATAAATCTTTTATGATTCTTCAACTTTGGTTCTCAAGGTTGAACAATTTGGCCCTTTCAATCTGATAATTTTGTTGTTTGGTTTAAGGGTGTGCAAAGGAGTGGAGCCAATGACGACGAGGATGGAAACTCCCCTTTCTTTGTACGCAGGTGGGCACCTAAGGTAAAAGAGGTTGAAATCTGTGACATGCATATCTTTTTCTTGTAATCTGAAGCTTTTAATGGAGAAATCCTTGTACATTATTAGTCACTGTAATAATGCCAAAGGCAATGGTGTGGAAGGTTTCTTTACTTCAGATCATGTTGGTATCCAATAACCGTTTCTGTTGTTTAACTTCACTTGTTTTGAAACGCGTTAATCTGTGGTAGCTGTTTTGTGACTTCCATGCATCGAAGTAGTAGCCTGCTTCCTGCTCATTGCACAATTATGGTCATTGGTTAAATGCTCTTCTCGAGATTTGATCCCATGCTAAGCACACTTACAGCATATTCTTGAAATAATTTTCAAGGATGCTATATTTCTAGCTTGAATTTCTTTTTCATCTTTAGATGCTACTTTTGCATGTAACAGGGGATAAGAAACTTGAATTTTTTTTAATGTTGCTTAAAGCCTAGAAAATCTGATCGACTTCTTTACTTGTTCTTACCTTGAAAAGAGTGAATTTTGCATTTCAACTACAGATGATGAATTATCGTTATTGAAGAGTGAAACTTTAACTTTATGTTTTTTGGTGGCCAGTTGGATGAACTACTTGGTGAGAGTTCACTAGTAGTGGACTGGAGGCGCTCATTCTACTTGAATCTAATAGCTCATACCTCCTTTACAGTAACAGTTGCGATTTGTAGGTACTTATTCCTCGGAAACTTCATGCAATTTATGACATGCAGTATAGGTTCTTAGCCCTTTAATTTTCGTAGCAGACAGGAATTTTGCTCTCAGTATATGTGTGGCTCTGTACTTCTTTGCATTTTACACCAAATAGTGTGGATGTTGATGCTTATGGCAGTTATAGGTTGTTCTTTTTAGTGATTGTGTTCATTACTTTGGTGTTGTCAGTCATCAGGTACTCCGAAACTATCAGAGTGGCCAAGGGAAGCCATTGTCCCCTATATACAAGGTGCTTGTCCAGTCTCTTTTATTTGTTCTCCACACCCCCCCCACCCCCCCGGGTAGATGATGAAATTTATGTTTATGTTTTATGCATAAGTCTTTTTGCGTCAAGACAAGTGACATGAAATTTTATGGTGGAGGTATATTTTATAATTGTTTGCTTGCGTGTGCCCCTTTGTTACTTATAATTGTGGGCATACGTTGATTTTATTCTCAAATTTCCTTCAATTCACTCTTCTGAGATCTGAATGAACCACTTATCTTGACCCATTCATAGGTTGTGAAGACAGTATATGCATCCCCCAGCCGTATCAATTTCCATTTGGATTCAAGAAAGGCAGGTTTTATATTTTAGAAAGACAAACAAAATTCCTGTCCTTTTGCATTATTTTCCATCAACCTGCAAGTTACAATCTACGAATCTTCATGCAGGAAGCAGAAACAAGTGCTGCCTATCCAGAGATATGTTTTGCTGTTGATGATTTCGATTCCACATTTGATGCTGTGGTAAATCTCTATTTAAGTTTATGATTGTGCCAGCTACTTCTATGAGTTTAACAAATTTTTTTTATCTGGGTAAGATTGTGCCCGTTGAATTATAGAGCAGTTTTCTGCATGTTGTATGCTGCAGAATTCCAAACCAATTGTTCTGCAGTGAAATTTCTGAAAAGTGACATACATGTCCTGGATTTATTGAATATGATGGCCTGCGTTGTCAATGTTCCCAATCATGCCTACTGTTGATAACTGTTTGAAAAGTGTATTTGAAACTCTAACATGGATATCATAAATCTGACCCTTTTCCACATATCTTTGGTGTTGGTTTTTTATATTAATGTTGGATTGTTCTGGGGTGAAAGTTTAATTCTTCCTATGTGTGACGTGCACACTCCAACTAGTACACAAAGATAATGTACAAATTGATTCTTGTCCTTCTTCTTGTAGGTCTTGACAGATGTTGACCATTGCTATTGTGTAATCCTAGATGCTAGTGATGGGGCGGCTTTTCCCTCTGAAAGTTCACCGCGAGACAGAAGCTCTGGAGACACGAGAGTAGGGAAGACAAAGAGTTCTAAGGTCTGGGATGAACTGATAATGATTTGGTTTTAGCAAAACTTTTTGTGCACTTTATTGTCTAGAGTTTCGGTTTCTTCTATAAAAATTTAATATGCAGAATTAGGTCCGTGAGAAGTTTTTGTGTATTTTTCTCTTGTTACTATCATGATACAGTGCATTATTATTGATGATAGAGGAAGGCAATTATTCCCCCAAAAAAACAATCTCTCTTGTGGGCCAGTTGAATAGATGAGGAAGTACATAATGTGGTCAAGTTTGAAACACTGCTGCGGCACAATTTTTTTCTTATAGAACAATTGGAAATAGATCTTCTTTCCTGGCCACTTTTCACTTTTCAAGAGTCATTTGTTTGTGAAATAGTTTGTAGTTGCAGAGCTTGGTGAAGAATTACATTCCCATATAGAGGTTGATTGTTTTACGATTAATCCTTTTGGGTATAAGATGGCAAATTAGGATGCCATTTGTATAGTCGCCTCTATGGTTTTCTGATTTGCTTGCACGCATTACAATGTCAGTCGTGTTGGCAGTCAATTGTCAAACATCCTTACGGACTTTTTCCATGGTAGTTTTCTTAACTCATACCTTAGGGACTTGTTCATTTTGCACTTTTGAGGTTATTAGGTATCTGACAAATATATGAGTCCAGTTTGCAATTGTTTCAAATATCAAATATGTATATTTTTTGATTTACTATGGACATGAAGTTGATGTAGTTTCAAATGGTTCTTATATGCAGATTACTCTTTTCTCTGGTTTTGTTAGCTATCAAATGGTTCGAGATGCTTATGATGGTATGTTTCTTGCTACTGTCATTAATTAGGAAATAATGATATTCTTTGACCATTCTGAATCTCTTGGATGGATTCTGTGGTAGAGCCTACTTTGTGGTAGAGACTAATTTGTGGCTACTGGATTCCTTTTATTCAGCCTGAACGGTGAAATGAACTCTCTCGTGAAAATTTACTTCTGAATTTTGGAATATTTCTCAAAACAGATCACACAAGTTGTGTTACATGAATATCACATTGTTTTTCTTTCCGTGCATGATTTTAAGTCCACACTGAGGGCGTATAGAAAAGGATTGCGAACACATTTTAACCCTTGTGTATTACCTTGACTTGTTGATTATTTTGTTGGTGTAGCTATCCTGAGTAAGTTTGCATAATCGGTTTCTTTCCATTTGCAGCTGGTAGGACGGGTTTCGGAAGCCTCTTGTCACTTGCTCACTCTCCAGGCAAAGCAGATAGACTTTATATGAAAGGTCCTGGAGGGCGGGGTGAAGTTGAGGTGGCTGTTTCAGGTGTTGTAGGTAACTAAGAAACAACTGCTGCTTACAACCATGGTTGATATGACAATTATTTTTTAATTTCTACCAGTTTGTGCATAAAAAGCAATTTCAAGTTACATTTTCTAGCATCCAGAGGTGTCATTTGTCTGCAGCATCTCTGGTCTGAACGTAGTGAAAATTATCTAAAGTTTTGTCTATACCCGGATGATAGTTGTTTGTGTGACTGTTTTCTAGAGAAAACATCATGTACTTTGTTGTGAATTCATTTAATCTATATAGTCTTGAAATTCTGCGACTTGGATTCATGCTTGTTGCTTTCAAGAAGTTGTCCCTTGCTCAGATGTTTCTCAACTGTGTACTGTTGATTATTTCTCCAATAGGAACTCTCATGTACCAGTTGTCCAAGTTTTGTTCAAGCCTCGTACCTTTTATACCTTGATTTACTCAGTCTTGTATATGTTTTTGTTTCTGATCTTACATCTTCCTATTGATTTACTGAATGATGTTTGTCACCAGAGGATAGCTTCTAATTATCTGCATGTTTCTCTCTTGTAGATCAAAGTAAAGAAGAATTGGACCATCATTCTAGAGGATCTGCTCTTGGTAAAATTGTCCGGAGGGCGGCATCCGTCGCTTCTGTGGCAGCTAAGCATGCTTATGCCGCCGCATCATCTACACGGACTTCTTACGAAGACATGATTCCCCTTAGATGCTGCCTGATGTCAGTATCATTGCCTTGGGAGCATATTGCTCATGATCTTCTATTCAAGGTGAGAGACGTGTCCTCTGGTTACTAGGGTAAACTCGCTTGAAAGTTTCATCTGAGTGTAGCTGACTTGTTTTACTGTTTGTGTGAATCATGCATGGTGCTGAATTATTAGGGAAGCCCTCCTGTGAACCTGTAGGCCGAGGTGCGTGTTTCAGGATTGATGTGTCAGCCAATCCCGAGTGGATCAGACAAAAACAGCAATAGCCCCATAGACTATTTGTGGATATTACTCTCTCTCTTTCTCTGTATGAATCGGGTTACTCCTTGTAATAAATATCCTAGATTTTCATTATAGTTTGTTGTATACTTACGTTAAGCTACTTCTATTTTAAAATCATATTCTTTCTAGGTTTAATCGTAATTTGGAAGCAAATTTCACATCACTTTTGTTTTTAGGTTTTATTCCCGTTTCCATTGCTTTGTATGTTTCTTTACATAGCTGTTCGTTTGGAGCAGTCTCTTGAAAGTGTTCTTCAATTGTGTAGCACCTAGGACTGAAATATTGAGATGAGCTTTGAAATATCGACTAGAGTAGGCGTTGCACTCCGTTCGGATTTGCCAGGGCAGGGAAGGGAATGCGAGAGACTCATATACCCTGCCTTAATATGTGAGAGACCATACCCTTATTTTTGCAACACCAGTTGGTTTTCTTGATCTAATATTGCTGATAATATGCTTTGGTTTGCTGTGCTTTTCACTTGCTAATAGTAGACCGGTGGACACAATGACAGAAAGTACATTTTTGCCAAAGTAACGGCACACAAGGCTCAAGAAGTCTAGCGCTCCTCATGACTTTAACATTTTTGCCGAAGTAACGGAGCTCAATTTAAGTTGCTCCGAAGATAATTCTGCAACTTTTTCCTTAGCAAAGTTACTTTTACAATTTTATTGTCTTTTTTTTATTATTATTATCTTTGTTTACCACGGAAACAGTTTTTGCATAATTACAGGGTAAACTTGGGTACAACTAACCTCCAAATTGCACCTAACTTGGTTGGAAATGTATGTTATTGTTGATATTGATGACTCTCAATATGAGTTTTACTTAGTGATGAGAAGAAAAGGAAAAGAACAAGGGTTTGGTTTAAAACGAAAGTTAATTGTTAATCTTTTTATGTCAAAATAAAAATTATATTTGTTGAATTAAAATAATACTCTTTCGTCTCAAGATAATGGTCTTGTTGGAGAGCATGACAATATATTACATTCATGACCCTAATGAGATTTAAAATTTCTGCCTTCTGGGATGGGGGACACTGCAACTAGTTAAGTGAGGTATAATTTCACAATTTTTGTGCTTAGATGTATAATGCAATTAGTGAGGTTTCCAGTCTCTCAGTTTCTGGAATGGACACATTGTCCATAGGGATTGGCAACTTTTCCCTTTGGTAAGGTCTTTCTCAACAATGAAGTAACCAATTTCTCCAGGTGGTCTTTAGCACTCAATCCCTATTCTCCAAGTCCACTTTATGAGGTTTCTTTATGAGGGCAAGTACTTCAAGGGAAGTTAAAGCTAACTGATATGATCAATATTCAAACGACTGCAAGCAGAACATGCAGCCTACTTTGCGGATAAATCCACTCAAAACATCTCAAAGTCAGGAAAGGGATCGATGCCAATGCCAGTAACCTCTTTTTTTTTTGTTTTTTTTTTTGGGTTGTATCAAGTAGATAGAAGAGAGAAGTTAGAGAAAGTGAGAGAAGCATATCAATTCAAGCTTGCATGTTACCTTCCACTAAGCTATCCTTGTTTGGCTTCTTTCATGTTATCTGGAAAAGAAACACATAACTAACCGATCACTAGCTATCCAGAATACTAAAATAACTACCTCTAAACTGACAAGGAATATTCTTCAATCTATAGTGCTAACGCAATCTAACAACAACAAAAAAAAAAAAAAAAAAAACCAAAGACGACAATACCTGCTTTTGCTGCATTGTGTTAATAATCTATAGTTAATTGCTTGATTGCCTTAGGGAAATAAATACATATGTTTTGACTTTATAAACTTTGTTAATTAATAATTTAATTTTTTAAGCATGTGTAGTATGAAGTTGAGTACATGCATGTTAAAAGTCCTAGAAATTGAGATGGGTTGTAATTGTTTTTTCTGAAATAAATTGATACCGGATTGTGTGTTTCCAATTAACCTAAACTTTTGTTGTTTTCCCCCCTTGTTCTCCCCTCTCTCCTCTTTGTTAGAGAATATATAATGCATGCATTTTTTTTAAACTCTAATTTCTGGCTAAAGCAAGTACAGATTTGTGTCCATATTCAGTTTGATTGTTACTCTGAGAATGAAATATCTATATATACTCCCCTTCCTTTTTCTTTCTTCTTTCTTTTTTTGTCTTAATGAAAAAGTTCAAACCTTAAATCGAGATAGTTACATACTAGGTGTAAAATCCTTCCGATGGACGGGGTAGAAAATTTTTTGTGAAAACAAAAATATGAGATTGACAATAAATGTTTCATGAAATTAAATTACAAATATTACAAATCCTGCAACACTTTATAAACTACATTTGTTGTCATATTACTCGTCTTACCGTCCTCACACCATATTAAAATTTTGAGTCCTTTTCTGGATGTAACAGCATCCATTATCTTTCCTTTCTCCCCGTCAGTGATCTTTTCCTCAACATCGATGTGCCCGACTATCACGCCAATTACATCTGAAACATAAACCGTGGATACATAAAACTAATTTATATATCTATATATATATATATATATAATTAAAGCATAAAAAGAACACCACTAACTTCTATCAATATTACTTAACATATATAAAGTCTTTGGGTTTTCGGCCAAGATTGTTTCAAAAAGAGTAAAATCAAAATCATATTTGGGGATTTCGGTGTCATGTCGGAACTGAATTAAAGCCTGGAACATTATCTTCTACTCATGCTTGTTTGTTCGTTAATATTCACCAACACTGTCCAAATCAAAATTTGAAATCACACTTATGCCCTTCTTTCAGCTTTAAATCAAACTTCTAATCAAAGGCCTATCAACATGAGCAAGTATCTTATCTCCCTATGTTTAGAGAAAAATGGGAAGGAATGTCAGTCTCCAAGTTTTAAAATTAATAAAGAGTAAATAATTTTTGTACTATATCAAATTATTCGGCGATTGGAAGAAGTGAATCGGCAAGTAAAAATGATATTTGGAAATGACAGTGCATTCTTCTTAACTGAAATTACTCGTATGCTGCTTAAGCACGCAACAGACAGTTAAAAGTGAATCTACTTGGGGCTGAATCGCAAGTCAAATATCAAAAATTGCTTTGACTATCCAGACCTTGGCTATATCATATCATTATCAAAGCACTAACAAAGAAAGGAAAAAAGACCATAATGATATCCAGGCAGCAGCTCCTACTTTTAAATAACCATAAAAATTGATTACAGATAGGGCCATTCGAATTATCAATATATATGAATCAAACAAAATTATAACAAAAAAACGTAACCGAAAGACTATATGATTGGCATGAAAAGAACACAATTTTTTTTCCGCTGTTTATTATAAATCGTGTATAACTCATTAGTAAATGCACAATTAGTTACCTTTCCATCAATTAGGAGAGCTTGAAGGCACGAAACATCACCCGATTATAAGTTGGTTTCAAAACTTGGAGCACACGAACGTTGATCTTCCAGTCGTTTTTTATCTTTATTGGGGTGAGCTCCTCGATCCAATTGAATTCTTGAGTCATCCGAATGAATAGAAGGAGCAAATTTTTTAGTAGAATACAAATCTTTTGGTTTCGACAACAGTAGGTGTGGAAGAACTTCTACTCCAATCCACCTTTTATAAAGCTCCAAGTAGCTTGATACAAATTAGATAACAATGAACCATTCAAATCAAATTTGAATCTAAAACTAATTTTTGAACTGTCCGAAGTAGCATAATATGGACGGATTAAACGGGGATATTAACAAAACAGAAACCCGGAAAAACATCAATGACAGATTAAAAATTTTAATATTGGGACTGGAATGTGGAAGATTTTATAGTTTAAAATTGAAAAATCTTCCAACCAAAACAGAAGATAAAGATCGGGAGAAGATTTTTGATCAGTGATTTTGAGAAATTGAGATAGGGCTGTTCGATTTGGATGAGTTCAGATTAAACCAAAACACATGAACAACTGTAGGGTTGGAATTTGAAAATTTTATGGTTTGAAATTTAAAAATCTTCCAACCAAGTTTGAAGATTAAGATCGGGGGAGAAGATTTTGAGCCGAGAGTTTCGATTGAGGCAAATACGAAATAACAAATGGAATTTATTTGACCGAAGATATGTTTTTTTTTCCTTTTTAAGATATATCAAAAAAAGGAGAAAATTGCCAGTACTACGTGGCAGGTAGAAAACTATCTCAATTTCCTCTCTCTAGGTTTTCTATTATTATATTATATAGATAGATATATAGATATAGATGATAATATACTTCCCTTTTTCTTTTCTTTTTTTCCTTTTTTTCAAGCGGAAAATACACCTCCCTTTTAACTTGTCAGATAAGAACAAGACGGAGAGTGTATATTTTAGTGAGCATAGAGTTATTTGGAGTTTGGTCACTTCTTTAGAATCAATTTATAATCGTTTAATAGTTTTTCTCTTTTTGAGTTTAGAATCAACTTATGATCGTTTAATAGCGTATATTGTTTATGTTAAAAGTTACGTTTATTGAGTGTGAAACTCTTATTACATGCTCCACGACCTCATCCTATAAGAGGATCATACATTTTGGTTTCTTTAGTATCAACTATCAAGTAAAAGAAACAAAAAGAAAAACTCACATTTTTATGGGAGAAGCATTTGCACCCTAAGTTGGCTGGGAACTCAAGTTTCTAACTGGTAAACCATTTTGAAATAATAAATTAAATATGAGTATAATGGTCTAAACTCTAAATGAATCTAAAAAATGTGCGTACCATAGTTATTCTGAATTAAAGACAACTTAAGACAAATTATAAAAAACTACTAATTGATTTGTTTTGAAAGAATATTAAGTTAAAATTGTTGACCAAATTAAACCTGGAAATTTTTTATTTAGCTAGAGGATATACGTTTATTCGTAAAGTTAATTATGCTATTAAATAAAGATTAGATCGGTTAATTAGTAGTAAAAGGTTTTCATCTTCCAGCACCTTCTGTTCAATCGATTGTGACATTTCTGTACTTTTAATTCATTTTGGTATTAAGAATCTGTATCCTTTAAATCTAGTTCTTTTACGTATTTGATTACGTTATGAAATAGATAACACTGCTATAATATTGTTTCTTTTTCCAAAGGGAAAAAAAAAAGAAGAAAAAGGCAGGCACTCATTAATCATAATTATTCAATTAAATTAGATAGTCAAGCTTTTGTCCTATCCCCTGCAATTCTTTATATTTTCATCTTTCTTTTCTCCCTCTCTCCTTTTTTTTTTTTTTATATTTTGTAATTGGACAAAACAAAAGCATGCACCAACAAACCACATTCCACATGGCCCGTTCTTTCTTTCCCTCAAAACCCTACTTTATCATCACCTTAAAAATTGGTAGTCCACATGACTACGTCGGGGGAATGTCTTTGTTATTTAATCTGGTATGTTGGTTTGTTATGTTTTTTTCTGTTCTCTTTGGGGGTTTTGATTCTTCGTGATTAAGTTAATCTCCTTTTAGGACAAGACTCACTTGATAAAAGCACACCTCGACTTCTACAGTAATATTAGATATTCTATCTCACTTTTTAAAAATCTCGTTTATCTGTCAATTTTATATTCTTAATAACAATAAGTAATGAATCGTTACACAATGTCACATATATCATGCTATTAGTACATGAAATTAGATAAAGTCATTTCATTTACAAATATTGTTGACCTAAATTAACAAATAAGACTCTTATTTTGGAACGTTTTAAGA